TCTCTCTCTCTCTCTCTCTCTCTCTCTCTCTCTCTCTCTCTCTCTCTCTCTCTCTCTCTCTCTCTCTCTCTCTCATGCGCCCACACATACACACACACATGGACAGTCTGTGCCATGCTTTTCTTGTGGAGTTGTGTATAATGAACATAACAACACACGTACATGGACACGCACGCACACACACACACACACAAACACACTGCACGTACTGGCAAAATATTTGCCGAACAACATTGAATGGACTCTCCATATACGACAGACCTCTACGCACCAATGAATAAAGAAAGTGAATCAAAGACCGACTGCAAAAGAACACACAAAGAGGAAGCAAACTGTCTTTCTCTTTATTTGTGCTTGCCGAATTCTCCAGGCTACTCTTCCTTTGTATCCCATGCTCTTGAGCTCCTAGTTTCCAAGATATCTCCTGAGACGCACCACATTTTCATGCACTGTAAGTCGAGCCTTAATCGCATCCTTTGACCCCAATATGTGCACCTGTGGCTGAAAAACTGCAAGACATATACCACATAAGACAAACCAGGAGGATGGACAGAACGTACAAAAAAGCACACCACACACAGAGAGAGAGAGAGAGAGAGAGAGAGAGTTAGAGTTAGAAGCATGCACAGGATCTACTCATCTAGGTGGAAAAGGGGTTATTTGGGTGACAGACACACACACACACACACACACACACACACAAACACACACAAACACACACACACTGTTGCATACTCGTGAAACACAGTCATAAGTATGGCGCAGATTCCCAGAACCGACCAGATAATACAGAGTTAATACAAATACAACGGAAGACTTCATACACATGGACTGACTCGGACCGACTCGGACTGCAACGAAACACTCACAAACATGCATCGGTGGTGTGAAAGCCCGGGCCTTGGACATAGAAGAAAAGGCCAGGGTTCAATCTCATACACGGATGAATGGAGGGGAGGAGAGACGAAGGGAGGAGGAGAGGGAAGATGACGTCAACTCGATGTTTCCAAAAATAGTATCTCCAGATGTCAGAAATAGCGAAAATCCGAAATGTCGTGAATACAGAATCTCACAGTGTCTCAGATATCGATTTCACAATGTCCAGATACATCTCCAGAGGTGGATGAAATCAGATCCCCCAAGTAATCCTCAACCTACAGTCTCAATGTTGCTATCCCCATATTATCAGAACTCGAAACCATCCTTCATATTCATAGTGGTCCAGTAGGAGTAACCCAGAAGTAGACTTAGACTTAGGGTAGGAGGAGAGAGAGAGGGAGAGAGAGAGAGAGAGAGCGGAGGAGGAAGAAGAGGGAGGAAAGGTGAAGCCTTTCTCCCTGGTACCTGGCTACGCAGCTACGGCGCTGCAGGGCTGGGCACTGGGCCGTGGGCTGGGCCAGAGGCTGGCGCTATTCCACTGCTGCGCCAAGATGCTGCTGCGCGGCTCCTCCTTGCTGCTGCGCTAATTCCCTTCTCGCTGCTCATCCTCATGCTCAAACGCTGCGCTAATCCTGAAGCCTAACTCGTAGTCGGACTGTAGACCAACTGTAGACTAACCTCCGCACTACTAACCTACCGACTGAGGCTGGTACCCAGCTGATATAGTGCTGGGTCGGCCTCAGTCCTACTGAGGGCCTTCGGGTCTGGACCGTTGATCAGGCCCAACGGTTCAGATCCGATTTTGAATCTGAAGAGTGGCGCCTAAACTGCGCCGCCGGCCGGTCCTACCGATTTGGACCGGTATCTGACCAACTAGCCGTTGGGTCTGGTGGGGTCCAAATGAGGCCTATCGGACCCTGGACTGAACCGACGGTTCCTAGGCCTACCTGGACCTAACTGGGACCTTCGTGACCCGGTAACTAGGCCTACCCGTGCCTACTACAGAACCAGGCCCTAACTGGGGCCCGTGTGGTATCAGTATGCCACACACTCCCCCCCTTGAAGACCGAGCTAACTGCGAGGGTGAAGCTGTCTGTCCGATGTCCATCTGGTCCGGGCGGGTTGGTCAGCTTCCTTATCAAGTCGCTGTTTTTCGTAGTCTGCGAAGATGAGGGGTGTTGTCGCCTTCAGATCAGCTCGTGAAATCCAACGTGTGTCGTCGGGATCACACTGCTTGAATGTAACTTTGTACAGCATCTGCTTGTTGACGTGCTTGCAATGGGCGAGGACACAGTCGACCTCCTGGTGACCGTCCATTGAAAGAGGGTCGTGGGACTGTCTGCCTGGAAAGTCCGTTCGTGAGGCTGAAGTGTAGACCGCCAGCTTCGAAGTGTGAAATACCGGGTGGACCGTCAAATGCGGGAGAATCTCGCGGGGTCGTCGCCAGCTGCTGAAGTGACCTTCCATGGCCCAAACCACTTAGGGAGGAGCTTGCAGGAGACGTGCTGCTCGAGCGCGAATTCCTCGGAGGTGACCCAAACAAGGTCGCTGACACAGATTGGACATGGGATGCGACGCCGATTCGCTTGCTGCTGCATACGGACCTGAGCCTTTTGCGTATTCGCGCGGGCTTTGGCCAGCAGTTCCCTGTACTTCCGTGTAGAAGCGGGGGAGCAAGCGACGTCGATATCGGCGGCCCGTGGAAGCAAAATGTCTGCGAAGATATGGCCTTTCCGTCCACCGTGATGCAACTCGAAAGGAGTCACGCCTATCACCGGGTGCACTGAAGTGTTGTAGGCGAACTCGATGTCGGGAAGGCGGTCAACTCAGTCCTTTTGATCCGGTCGGATGAGTGTGCGGAGCATCATCTGCACAGTCTGGTGCGCACGTTCCGTTTGCCCATCCGTTTGAGGATGTCGTAAGGAACTCGGTTTCATGCTGGTGCCGGATTCCACCATGAGTGTCGTCCAAAAGGCTGACATGAAACGAGTGTCGCGGTCGCTGATGATGTCTTCCGGAACGTCATGGCTGCAAAACCAGCCAATGTGCACGAGTTGTGCGAGCTCGGGAGCCGTCGCGTGATACTTACCTGGAAGAAATCGAGCGTACTTGCTCAAACGGTCGACGACAGTGAGAATACCATCATGGCCAAGGCGATCGCGAGGGAAAGGGTCGGTCACGTCCATAGCAATGGAGAGACCTGGTTCCCCAGGAATCGGCAATGGTTTCAGTTCGTCGTACGGGAGCTGATAGTGCCCTTTGTTCCGGTGGCAAACTGCGCATGATTGAATGTACCGGTTGACGTCGCTGATGATGTCTGGCCAGTGGAATCATTGGCGGAGTCGTTCAAGATCGGGTCTTCGTGAGAGAGCATCCGCTGCCTTGTTCGAGGGGCCCGGAATATGCTTGGAAGTGAAGTCGAACTGGTCTATGAAATACATCTAGTGACCGATTGTGCTGCTCACAGTGTCTTGCGTCTTATAATAAGTCAACGGATTGTTGTCCGTTGCCCATGTGAATCGCCGACGCCCGAGGAGAAAGTGACGCCAACACTTAAGTACGGTGACAAAAGCTAGCAGTTCCTTCTTCCTCGCATCATCAAGAGAATTGATTGGCGGCACCTTTTGGCTGAAGTACTCAACCGGATTGCCAATCTGTGCCGTCATGCTGTTCCAAAACTGCGTCGATGCCGTAACCGAAAGCATCCGTAGTCACTTTGGTTGGCAAGGTCAGGTCATAGATGCTTAAGACGGGAGCTTGAAGCAAAGTTGTCTTCAGCGTATGGAACGGGTGTCGGGCTTCGTCGTTGAACTCGAAGGGCACCAAGGGGGACTGAAGTCGCAACAATGGTGTAGCGATCCGTTGGAAGCTCTTGACGAAGCGCATGTAGTATGATGCTAAGCCAAGCTCTTGCCGGGCAAACTCGCACTTGTCGCGGTTTACCTTGTATTTGGCGATACGGAGCCACTCCAAAACGGCGCGAAGGTGCTCGAGGTGCTCGTCCAGCGACCGGCTATAAACCAAGATATCATAAAGGTAAATGAGTACAGTGCGGTCGAGTAGGTCGTGGAATTCCGTCGTCATAGCCGCTTGGAAAGTAGTCGGGGCATTGGTGAGACCGAAAGGCATGACGATCCACTCGAAGTGCCCATACCGCGTCTTGAATGCGGTCTTGTATCGATCTCTTGGCTGGATCTCGATCTAGTGATAGTCGGATTTGAGGTCAAGCTCTGAGAAGTACTTGGCGCCGCCTAGTCGCTCGAGAAGATCATCGATCCGAGGGAGAGGGACGACATTCTTAATCGTTTGTGTGTTAAGTTTCCAATAGTCGATGCACAAACGAAGGTCCTTGTTCTTCTTCCGGACGAAGAGAACGGGAGCACCGTATGGCGAACAGCTAGGGCGAATCCAGCCCTTGGCCAAGAGGTCATCTAGTTGTGCCCGAAGCACTTGAAGTTCCTCTTCGCTCATGTGGTAAATACATCCGCGCGGGGGTACAGTGCATTCCTCGAGAGTGATCCAGTGGCGTATGGGCCGATCCGGTACGACTCCGGCGGGAGCTTGGAAGACGTCCTCATAGCTGTCCAAAAGCTCAATGATGAGTGGGTCCAATGTGTCCGTCTTGGGCTGATCACCGGGTGGGAGGGCGTGAAGAAAACACATGCCCATCTCCTCGATGTCGTGTCGGCTGATGGATTGGCGAATGCTCGCCGCGGAAACCACGTGACAACCAATCGAAGGATGAGGAAGCGGCACCGTACACGGGACTAGTTCGCCACGCCGATCAGGAACGTGACGGTGCGTCGGTAAAAGTTCACTGGATGGTCTTCGCTTCGCAGCCACGACATGCCTAAGGTCATATCGAACTTAGTGTCCAATATGTCGAATGACACGGCCTCGCATGCTAGCGGGGCAAAGTACACGGGCACGGAGTCAACGCAGCGGTCGATTGACTTTTGCGTGTGACCATCAGCCAACGTGACGTGCGTAGGCTGACTTTTCCTTCGAACGCGTGGGCCTACCCCAGCGCGTGCCATGAACTCTTGGCTGATGTAGTTGCGAGACGCTCCACAATCGATCACGGCACTGCAGGTTGCCTTTTTTATCTGAATGCGGATGTAAAGTAGTGGCGCGTCGATGTCGACGTACCGTTGTGTTGCTTGCTCGCGGTCGATCTTCGCAAGATAGCTACGAAGGTCAACAACCTCTACTCCGTCGTCCGTCGACGCAGGTGGTACAGCAGCGTGGAAGTATTTGTGCAAATGTGCCATCAGGGCATTGCAATGCGGTGTTGGCAAAAACCGGCGGAGGGAAGAGGCAACCATTGGAAGTCCTCAACCGTCAACGGGTCGAGTTCCTCAAGACTCGCCCAAGTTGACGGATCCTGCGATAAGGGTTGGCGAAGCTACCGGTTCGTTGTCCGACGGCGGAAACACCCCGCATGCGCTTGAATCTTGCACATGGAGAGGCTGGTTAAACAGCGGGACCAGCTGGACAGCATAGTTCTCGAAGTCAATCGGGGAACTTGCGACTACCGCGGCATCCCTGGACGTGAGAGAGACTGCTAGCAAGGCAGCCGAGTCCGGCGGACTGGGAAGTGATGTCGCTGCACTTCCCGCGGTGCTCAGTTTCCGAGCCTGGACGCTTGACATTTTCTTTGCCCTTGTCGAGGCATGCACTAGTGATGTGCTTGGTGCTGTTGCACCATAAACAACATCCCCATTTCTGCCTCAACTTGAGCATGTCTTCGGTGATACCGAACTTCATCCATGGTGACTGTCGTGCTCCATCCGCCGACGCTGGTTTCGCCTTGTGTTTTCCCCCACGGGGTCTTGCGCGTTCCGATGGTACGCCACATCTCCGTCACTTGATGTTGAAGCGGCTGCGTGGTCCTCACTAGATCCTTGCTGGATCGCTGCTACTTGCGGCGTCCGTGGACCTTTGCCTTTCTCCACGTAACCGGGCTGTTGGCGGGCCTCATTGGCCGCGCGCCGGTTACCTTGTATGAGTTCCCTTGCCTTGAGATCATCTCATCAAAGGTCCCATACTGAAATTCGCTGCCAAGGGCAGCTGTCAAGGCATCGCAAGAGCAGGCAAAAAATTCGGACCGGATTGCGTCGAATGGCAGGTTCAACTTCGGGGTGGCAACGAGTCTTTGCCACTCCGTCAGCCATTCCCGTGATGGTTGCTGGCCTTGAAACATGTGGAAGATCTTGTTCAAGGCATGACGTTTGTCGTTGTTGACCATAAACCGGGTCTTCCAATTCTTCTGGAATTCCTCCCACGTGATCTTGGCGTGGAGGGTGGCGATGGTGCATTCCAACGTGACGCCCATGTGAGTCATGAAAGCTTGCGCCCCTCCAATGAGTTGGACGTAGAGTGCGTCAAGCCGCCGTAGTGGTGGGGTGTGATGTACATCCGCCTCTGCGTTGAATGCCATCCACCATTGCAACGGATCAGTCTTGTGGTAGTCATCGAACTTCTCAATCTTGAAGTTCGGCATCTTCCATTCCTTGACGACGGCGGCCGTTCGTTGTTGAACGTGGTCGCTGAGCGTCTGCAGCTGATTGCTGACTGTCGATGCTCCAACAAACTGGCTGACGTCGCCAAGGGATGCTACCACGTGGTTCATCCGCTCTTCGAGTTGCTTGGCTTGAGTGGCCAAAGTTGGGCTGCAGTCTGCCACTGCACTGCCCGTCGACTCAACTGCAGACAGTCGTGCCAACCTTGTGCTGACGGTGGTCTGCAGCTGGTCGTTGATGGTGTGCTGCTGGCTGTTGGCGGCCTGCAATGTGCTGTTCTCGGCCTGCAATGCCACAATCTTCAGGTTTATCGAGATCTGCCACATGGCCAGCAGTTCACGTTGCTGCCAATTGCACGTGTACAGCAGATTCTCCATCAATACTGCTGTGGATTCCTTGTCACTCTCTTCATCGGTCGGCTCCTCTTGTGCTTCGGTTGCTTGGAAATGTTGTCGTCGAAGTAGCCTGCGGTACGTGGCTTCGTCTTTTGCGAGGTCCATTGTGGCCTGGTAACGAGCTTGATTCTGACTTGCCTCGACCTGCTGTTGCTGCAACCATGCGGCTGCTGCAGCTTCGGCTGCGGCCTGCTGACGTGCCGCTTCGGCCTCTTCCAGCTGGCATTGAATTGCCTGTTGGCGGGTGGCATCCTCCTTTTCCCATTTGCGAAGTTCGGCTGCAGCAGTCTCTGTGTAATGTTGGAGACGTCCGAGAAATGCGAGTTGCGATTCATCTGCCTGCCCAACTGGCATGGGAGGAGTGATCGGCCTCTTGGGGCTGGCCTGCGTATTGACGTCGGCAGTTTCAGCCATGGTCGTGCGTTGTCGCGCGTTGTCTGCGCGGGATCCAAGGTGTCTTGGGTCCCTATTGGGGCTTGGTTCCTGCGGATCCGCGCTCAGCAAGCCGTTGACTGCGGCGCATCAAGTGGTCCTCGCTTTGTTGCTGCTGACGTGTCACTGCTGAGGTGGCACACTGCTGATGTGGCACTGCTGCGGTGGCACGCTGCTGAGGTGGCACTGCTGAGGTGGCACAATGCTGACGTGGCCGGAGACTGAAGTCCACAGTACCGAGAGGAGGAGAGAGAAGGTAGGGGCGGGAAGAAGGGAGGGAGGCAAGCAATGCACAGACAGTCCCTTTCTGTCCTGACCTCGAACTTGACAATAATCAAGGGAAAAAAAAAATCCCCCCCCACGAAAAAATTGAATTTCAAAAATTTTAAGATTAAATATTTAATTATTTAATTACATAAGTTTTAATCAGAAAATACGAGTTAATTAGATAAATTTTAATTTTGGCAAAAATTAAATATTTAATTAAAGAATATTTAAATTTGTGCTAGGATTTGGGTCCTCGGAAATCCTATGGGGCCCCGGTTGCAGTGGTGCCCGCCCTAAGTGAAGGCGGGCCTAACATATCACAAGAGGCCTTTGACTGTCATTTTCATATTTGGGGTACAGGCAGTTGTGACGCACCAGTTGGTTGAGAGAAACACAGGCCGAGCAAACAAGACATTTCCACGGCCTTCTGGGCCTTTCCGAAAAATGCAGGCCCTGGGCGAGAAACGCAGCCTCATACACTGACAGCTGGGAGGCCCAACCGAAAGAGGCCCAGTAGCTGCAAAATAGCACGCAGCATCCTGGGGCCTACCGGAAGCTTCTGGGCCCAGGCTCAGCCCAGCCAGGCTGCGAAGCAGGCAGACTCTTTCCATATAGGAAAGAGCTCGCCACTCTCGGTCTCATTCAGGCACTCGTATGCTAGCGGCAGCGCTGCTGGAGCAAAGGCTCGTGGGCTGCTGCTGGTGCTGAAAGGCGAGGTGCAGCATGTGCGGTCGTGCAGGGAAGAAGGGCGCTGCTGAGGACAGCGCATAGCCCAGCCACCATAGCTGGTGGGCTTGGACTACAGTGAGGCGCAGGAGTGGTCTTCGGGTGTAAGGGAGGAAGACGTGGGTGTAAAGAAAGGGAAGGGTGAAGGATGATGATGATGATGATGTGAGGGCACATACCTTGCATTGGCGAGGTCTGCATTGGGCGACATCTTCAAGTACTTCGGGTTGCCGCTGATGTCAACAGTTGCATTGTCAATTAGTAGGCTGATAATAGCTGTGTAGGAGTAGGCTGGGCGCTGAGCGCCAAGTAGGAGAGTGAAGGGACTGGACTCTTGTGTTGGTGTGGAGAGAGAAAGCTCTCCTTGACATTGGTTTTCAGTACTACGAACCTCCATTGGTGTATTATTGGTGCGATGCTGTTCTCTGGACACGATGTGACTATCTGGCTTTCAATGTGATTGTGTAATCTGGATTTGTCATCTCGATGTTGCTCATTTTCCTTGCAATTTGGTATCAGAGCTGGTTCGAACTGCGCTCATTGGTTCTTCGCAGTTGCTGTTCGGTGCTTCGCAGGAGGTGTGGGGCAGTGATAAGGCATGGGTGTTGAACGTAAGGCGGCCCAGGGTCGTGTGGGCGCGCCAGGGAGCTATGTGGTGACATACGGGGTGTGTGCTGGATGATAAGAACTCGCTGATGTGGAACTTTTGCAACATAAAATCGAATAAAGTTTAAAGTTTAAACAAGATTAAACATTTAAACAGAATATTTAATTAAATAATTTCATGAAATTTAATCGGGAGGATTCAGCATCATTACGAGGTCATGAGGTAAGTAGATGATCAATGGTAGTAGGAAGATACACCATTCAGCGTCTGTAAACAAGATGCGATTTGCAAAAGTGAAAGTTCCGTGAAGTTGCAGTTGAATGTGGCCGTGCTCAGGCCCGATCTGCCCTAATTAGGCACGGTGCCTGGCTGGCGCTCACTTCCCATAGTCTGATAGGTCGTTAGATTAGGTTAGGACTAACCCTAATAAGCGCTAATTAGGTTAATCGTGATTAGCGATTTCCTAATTGTGCACAGTATGGAGAAAGCCGCCAAACCTAAAATTAGAATTCAAACGACCTAATTACCTATGTAAGTAGAAGAAAAGGAAAAAAAAAAATTGCAACTTGCGATTACTGATAACAGAATACAGGTTTAGATATCAATCAATCAAACGTGAGTCATCCAGTGCTGGTCTGCTCCGATACCAAACTGTTGCATGCTCGTGAAACACAGTCATAAGTATGGCGCAGATTCCCAGAACCGACCAGATAATACAGAGTTAATACAAATACAGCGGAAGACTTGATACACATGGACTGACTCGGACCTGACTCGGACTGCAACGAAACACTCACAAACATGCATCAGTGGTGTGAAAGCCCTGGCCTTGGACATAGAAGAAAAGGCCAGGGTTCACGCTGCATGGCAACTGCTCAATTTGGACGGCTTCGATGCACTGACAAACGCCTCGGCTGCACTGGATAACATGTTTCATCGTCCGCAGACTTTCACCATCCCTGCCAGGATTCCCTTGTGTGTCGGCAACCATGTCGGAACTCAGTCATGACGCAGTTTTTGCGCGAATTGGCGTGCATAAATGCACAACATCACACACACACACCCCTAGCTTGTGGTCATACGTTCCAGACGGTTTGGAAACAATAAACTGCCGAGAGCTTACGATATTCCTAACGGACAGCTAGACTACGCTATACCACTCTATCACCAGCACCTGCCAGATGAATAGACGGTACGGTGGGGACCACCATTGGTACCAACAAGACTGAATAACTACAATGTGTGCCCTGGACGTCCTCCCAGGAGCTGCCCGGCACAACTGTGTTATGCCACATCACGGGTGAACCCTGCAGACTGTTGGTTCCCACCACCCACTGAGCCAGGGAGTCACCCAGACAAACATCCGTCATCACCTGAGGGCAGACAGACATCCCGAACTAAGCGCCCCCCCAAGAGTGCTGCAGGCACTCCAAACACGGAATGACCGACTATTTGGCACTGCTTAAAGCTGGTCAGCTAGGCACACAAAAAAACAACGAGGAGGAGGTTATGGTACCCTAAGGAGGACTCGCACCAACAGAAATGGAAGCCTAACTCTCAAGAACTGGCTAATCATCCCACCCACACACACCAGCAGTACCCACCCTCTCCCCCTAACAACTCTCCCACAAACACTATATTTCAACCCTCATCATCAACCCACCACCCACCCCACTCGACCCCCTCAGTAACTACCTCCCACGCCCTAATCAGTCACTACCTCCGACCGCACAAAATAGAGAGCTCCCACTTCCCCCCCTACTCAACCCCACTCCAGGGAAAGTTCAAGCACATTCAAAGTTTGGCACAAGATACCCTGTTACAAATGCCGGTAGGGTTTAGGGTTTTAGCAAGACTACAGCAGTAGACCGTACCAGCAGACCCAGCAAGAAAAGAGTATCTGACAGACAAAGTGCTGAGAGGATTAGTCTGGAAGGGTTCCCAGTTAACAAACGGGAATCAATATAGTAACCGAGGAGTAAAGAGATCACTAGTACAGCAAACAAAGAGCAGGAGTAGAAAAGGCTAGCTCAGGCAGGGGTGAGGGGAGGTACATCCTTCCTACCGGAAGTAATCAATGCCGTCCTTCGGACCTTCCTACCATAAGGGGAAGGAGCGTGAGTGAGTTTTCATTGTATTCTACTTGACTTGCCGGGGGAATAGGAACCGGACTGATGCTCCCCAGAATGGACAAGGAGCCAGAACCTTCAGGTTCTGTTAGAAAAAAAAAAAAAAAAAAAAGCATATGATGCTTAAACCAGCAGTATGTTCCCCAGCCGAAGAATAAAATATGCCGCGTGCATGCAGCCGCAACTTCCGGGGCTTGGCCTCCGGAGTGAAATGGCTGGCGACGCCGGCACAAAAGTAGGCCCGCAGCGGTTCGTTTTTTTTTTTGGCGTGCAGACCGTTTCCAGCCCCAGAGAAAATTGTCTCCGAAGTACTGGTGGTTTAAAGCCTAAAGGATCCCCGATAGCCTAGGAGAGGGAATCTTCCAAAAAATGGTTCTGCATCTGGAGACTCCCCACCAGAACCAAGGGTTCAGCATACTTTTTTTCAATAAAATCACAGTTTCGTTTTCTTTCCGGAAAAAAATTGTTAACCCCCCAAAGATGTCTTTATTTGCATTATGCCCCTCTAACAGCCAGGTTAACACCAACCTGCAATCTTTACGGCAGGTCCCTGTCGGAGAAGGGGGCAACTCTGTGCCACACCCTTGCCCTACCAATAGTGGCACCCGTATCAGTACATGCACTTCCTTGTGGCATGTGTCCCAGCCATTCAGGCGGCACTCCAACATGTGGAAGCGCTTGCATGTGTGTGCATGTCACAGAGAGAAAGCAAGAGGCAAATCTCTCTCTCTCTCTCTCTCTCTCTCTCTCTCTCTCTCTCTCTCTCTCTCTCTCTCTCTCTCTCTCTCTCTCTCATGCGCCCACACATACACACACACATGGACAGTCTGTGCCATGCTTTTCTTGTGGAGTTGTGTATAATGAACATAACAACACACGTACATGGACACGCACGCACACACACACACACACAAACACACTGCACGTACTGGCAAAATATTTGCCGAACAACATTGAATGGACTCTCCATATACGACAGACCTCTACGCANTCTCTCTCTCTCTCTCTCTCTCTCTCTCTCTCTCTCTCTCTCTCTCTCTCTCTCTCTCTCTCTCTCTCTCTCTCTCTCTCTCTCACGTGCGCGCATGCTCGTGTGTGTGTGTTGCACATGCACCATTGAGTGCACAGGGCTGAACAGTGTGACAATGCAATTGCCTTGTGCTACAACGATGCAGAGAGAGTGAGAAAGAGATTCATGGACAATTGTGTCCCCTTGCATGGGAAGTGTCACACCCTGGTGCACTAGCAAAAGAGAGAGAGAGAGAGAGAGAGAGAGAGAGAGAGAGAGAGAGAGAGAGAGAGAGAGAGGCCATTGGTGACCTCCAACGGCTAGGGGCACAGTGAAAAGATGGTCAATATCAATAGGGGCAAATTACAAATTTCTGCCCGAGCTCCGAATGGCCATTCACAAGGGACATTCTGAAAATTTTAACCGGTACCAGAGGGGCATACTCAATAGATGTCAGGCCCGAGTGACGCCAGGGGTATTTTGCAAATTTGAACCGCCAATAGAGGGGCATGCCAGTGTAAGCCCGCTGTTTGAGGGGCATCAAGCGCAAAAAAAAAAAGCATCTTCGAGGGGCATAACGAAAACTTTGCCTTTTCTTGAACTTGCTATTGAGCTCAGCTAAGGGGATTCTCAGAAAACTCACCCCTGTCAGCCAAAACTTATTTGTAACTTTCTTGCAACCTTCCCCCCCACCACCCTCCCCCCCCAGTGCATAGATCACCACAACTACAGAAGCTTCTAGGTTCTACCGTTTTTGAAAGGGAGACGAAAATGCCAAACCACGAAAAAGGAGATGCAGCAATTTATACACGGATGCTCCGGTCAGAGGAGTCGTTCTAGACATCCATTAAAATCGGAATGACACAGAGAACATTATTAGCATGGTCCCTGTGCTGTCAAGGATGACCCACACAAATTGAGAAATGCTCCAAAATTTCTAAAAGCAAAAGAAAAGAAAAAAAGGAAAGCTGAGAAAATACCCTGGGCCTTCCCCCAGAAAAAAGGAGGCGGCCCTACTAGCAAAAGTGTATGTACAACTGCAGGTGTGTGTCACAGGTGTGGGACAGCTGTGGGACACGTGTGAGACGGTTCTGGGACAGCTGTGGCGCGGCTGTGGGACGGCTGCGCAACGGCTGCTGGACGGGATGGCTGTGGGACGGCTTTGGGACGGATGTAGGATGGCTGTGGGACAGGTGAGGGACGGGTGTGGGACGGTACTTCTGGCATTGAGAAAATGAGAGTAAAGTTCAGTAAACAGTGATAGGTCATGCATGCTATTGTTCGTCCATTTGACTGCTATCATCCATCTGTTTTTTACGTTCCGATGACTGCTGTTTTTCACGCTCCAATGAGTGAGGTTATTTTTTATATGTTCTGATGACTGCTGTTGTTTTTATGCTCCCATGACTGCCATTTTTCACATTACTTGGGTTCCTTAAAAGTTAAAAATTATATTTGATGCTCTGCAGGATGACTACTGTTCTTCACGTTCCGATGATGACTGCTGTTTTTTCTTGACGTTCCGATGATCACTGCTGTTTCCGATCACTGCTGTTTTTTTTTTTACGTTCCGATGATTGCTATTTTTCACATTATGAGTTTCTTTAAAAATGAATTTGATGCTCTGCAGGAGGAAAGCAGTCACCAATGCATGGACCGACATGCAGCAGTCAAACAGCAAACACTAGCGACATGCAGTTGTTTGGCATCCTCAGAGACTTTCCGCAACGCATCTCTGACGGAAAGAAAGCGACAAGCCATTGACATAGCGTGCACACAATAGCAGCCGAGCACACTGAGCTGTACTCGGTTCGAGTCATCTTTTGTCATCTTTCACAAAACAAAAGATCCGTAAAAGAATAATGAGAATTCTGACGACTTCTGAACTCTGACACAGTCTCCGCACCTCTGTGGGAGGAGCCTGACAATCCCATTAGTGAGCCAATCAGCATATTGAATTATTATTATTATTATTATTATTATTATTATTATTATTACATTTTATTATATTGCAAGGAATATGAGCGAGAGCGATATACAGAAAACTCAAGTTGCAAAATCACGCAAAAGTCCAGATAGTCATGTACCAATCAGAGAGCTCAAATGCACCAAGATTCCATCCAAATAAGAGCGATACAATGAACTCGTGAGCCAATGTCCAAGCCCTCAGCCACACCAACACAGTATTCAATGTCGCTCCTACTGTTTGGCGCCCAGCGCCCAGCCTACTCATCCTACCTATCCTACCTACGTTCTTGCAACAGGCTCACTTTGACAACGAAGACTAATGTACATGACGTCAACACCAATGCCGACCTCCCACATGCACCAGGTACGTACTCTCGACTCCCCTCATCACCCCTTGTCCACCCACACCTGCGCCTCCTTCCTGAGGACCACCGTCGCCTCCACCTGCCCACGCCCCTGCAGCCCGGCTATGGCCGCTTGAAGCCCCGCTGCCCTGCAGCGCCCCACACCACTCAGCGCCCGCGCGCACCCCAGCCAGCACTGGCGCATGCTGCTGCTGGACTGTGTGGGCCTGGCCGTGGAAGTTTCCAGTAGCTTCTGGTCAGGCCCCAGTGTCTGCGCCCAAGCCCATGTCTACAGTTGAGGGCCTGGGCCTTTTTTAGTTGGGCGCACCCAGGATTTTACAGGCTCCGAATGTCTGCTGTGTTTGCATTGGCCCCCGGGGTGGATGTGACGACAATCCTGCATTCTCATTGGCCCGTGGCCACTTCGTGATGTGTCGGCCTCACACTGCGTGGGCCCAGGGCGCAACGACCTGCGTCCTGGGCTCAACTGCCTGGCGCAGCTGCTTCTTCTGGAAGAGCCCAGGGTGAGGCCCAGGTTGCACTACAACCAACTGGCATGCAGCAACTGTCTGCGACACATATTGGAAAATGCTGAGATAAGGGCCTTTCGTGGATATCCAGGCCCGCCTTCACTTAGGGCGGGCACGAGGTTTGCTGGGGGCCACAGTCCAGAACATATATGCATGTTGTCGGGGGCCCCCTGAGGACCATTCCTCACAATATTATATATATGTATATATATATATCGTCAAATAGAACTGCCCGGTAAACCGTAGGCAGAGAGGGAGAAGAGGACAACAAACGAGGGGCTGTGACAAACTGTTTCGTCGGAGTTTCACCGACTCATCGTTAAATAGAACTGCCCGGTAAACCGTAGGCAGAGAGGGAGAAGAGGACAACAAACGAGGGGCTGTGACAAACTGTTTCGTCGGAGTTTCACCGACTATATATATATTTTTTACTATTTTATTATTATATATTTTATTATTTTATTCTTATTATTATTAATATCTTCATTCTTCTATCTTGTATGAAATTCACAAAAACAAGTAGATAAAAAGCGGACAAGACAAAGAATTGTCATGGTTGAGAAAAGGAAAGAAAAAAAAGAAAAAGGACAAGAACTTTTTTTCTCGATTTATGCGTGTCATCCTTGACAAGATTTTTTTTTCTATTTTCCGCCTGTAATTTGTTTGTTTATTTTAAATTATTTATAAATGAATTTCAAAGTTCAAACTTCATCCGCGGGATCCCCCAGTATCCACAGGTACTACACGTCGCATTCCAAGCAGAATTCTCTAAACCGCTTTTCTACGGGGACCACCAACCGGGGCATCACTGCATCAGCCTGGTCACAACAATAGCTGAGYTTAAGGGGGGGCAGGGGGGGGGAGGGAAGCTGAGAGGGGAAGGAGACAGAAGAGGAAATGTCAAGGACATACTGTCGTACATGCCAGGCTGACTAAGGTCGACGCCATCCCAAAGAACTCGCCCGGCCGATGGTTTTATGAATCCTGCAAGCTATACCAACATCATAGCATGGCAATCTCATATCAATAATCAATCAATCAATCAATCAATCAATCGATCGATCGATCAATCAATCAAAAAATAATAATAATAAAAAAATTCAATCAATGAATCAATCAACAAGTCTCTTTCATTTTCTGTCCTTTCCTTCTTTCTCTTTTTTTCCCCTTTCCAGTCAGCCAGCTGAGAGGGTCGCTATCATTCAACACAATGTCTCTGTCAAGTGAATCAACAACATAGAAAATCCTTTCTTTTTTTTTTTCTTTTTTTTTTTGGGACCGCTTCTCGATTTATGTGTGTCATGCTAATCTTCTCTTTCTCTGTATCATTCCAATTTTAACGGATGTCCCGGAGGACAACATAGAGAATCAACCGTGAAACAAGTGAGCAATGAGAAAACTCAAAACTCAATCATTGTGTTTTTCTGGATAAATCTCAGTACACAGCGAGGGATGCAAAAAGGCGGAGGGGGGGGGGGGAACTTAAAAATAAAAATAAAAATCTTTATTAAATTAGAATGATGGTCGATGCAATCAGACTTGCTTTCTTCTTCAATTCACATACATGCAACCAGATCCCATTCCACCCTGGCGCTGTGCGCCCACTCACAGCTCAGAGATATTCAAGTCGAGACACAGTTCGGATACAAACTCGCTTCCAACTGGCTATCGCGCCTCAGCGCTCACACATCCTCAGTCCAACACTGTCTCACTCAACTGTTTGCACGCACTCGACTCTGGATCTCCCTGGATCTCCCACGCACACCAACTCAGTACTGAACACACACACACACACACACTGAGTTCTACCTCTATGCTACAGCGGCTATGGCATCTCTACCACTACTGGCTATGGACGAGCTATCTCCCTTCAGCCCACTTCAACTTCGGGCTACTGCAGACCACCTCGCACAAGACGCCTGGCAGCGCTTCCGCATGGCTCACGCAGGAAATGAATGACTGGCTGGACGCTGCCTCTTGATTTATACTTCTGTAAGTCGCTGGTCTGCCTTTTCCACCGGGCCCATGGTGCACACAGTCCCACATGGTACTTGCTGACTGGACAAAGTGAGACTGGGACTGGGTACCGCTGACTAAGCGGAGTTGGACTCACCACTTGCCCACTTGCCTCTGGCCTGCTGTGAGAAATGCGAGAAAAAAAAAACTCAAAAGGCCAGTTCCGGACCTTCTGTGGACTTGGCCTTTCGGGACTGTAGCAGCTACGACCTTGACCTTTCAGAATTACTACAGCTACGGTCTCTTCACAACTATGACCCCTACTCGACAGACCTACAGATCGAACCCCTAAAGCTACACAGACCTACAACAGACAACAGCCAACTACCAAAACGGAGGTCACGGGTTCAAGACACACAAGGTCGTCTCGATACTGTGCACAGGTAAGGTGAGGTAAGGTAAGGTCTGGGGATCGAGCCCTGGGATCCGCGTCTGCTACTGCTAAGGTGAAAAACCGTTTCAGTCGACATTTTGACAGCAACAGAAATTCACATTCCACTTGGTGCATGCCAGTCAATCAATCATCCTCAATTTAAAAAATAACAGGGAATTTCCTCAATAAAGGAGTTGAAAGGAGATGCTCAAGAAAATTCCTCCCATCCTGTAGGAAACAGAAGAGGAAGACCATGAAGGGTTCTAATTAAGATGAAGGGCCCTCATTAAGACAGAGCCCCACAGGGGCTTTTTCATTAAAAAAAACAAACAAAAAAAAAAAAACAAAGACTAATGTAGCTGTTGATGAACAGATCATGCGTTCAAATCCTGTCGGATACAATAATCCTAGGGGAGCTAAACCAACACCCTTCAGGAACCAAAAAAAAAAAAAGCAAAAAAAAAAAGGAAGAAGGAGAGGAAGAAGATGAAAGGATATCATTAAGATGGGGCCCCTCTTGTAGCTGTTGATGAACAGATCATGAGTTCAAATCGTGGTCGATACAATAATGTTCCCGATAAAACAAATGCCCTTCGGCCAAACAAAAAAAAAAAGAACAGGAAGGAGATGAGCGGGCCTCATTAAGAGGGGCATCCAGTGGAAAAGCCAGCCACAGAAGAATTGGGAGAAGAGAGGGAGGTGGTGGAAGAAGATGACGGGCCATTCATTGAAGAGGCCATCTGTCGCGGACAAAGATGAACGTCACATTGTTGAGCACGATGGAGTCTCAAGAACGAGTCTCCAATGGCTCACGAGTCCCATGAGTGTCGTGAGTCCCTTGAGTTGCATGAGTCTCGTTTTTTGCTTGAGACTCAGAATCAGCCTCAAGAGCCAAAACAAGTCTCGTTCACTCTTGCGACCTGTGCTGAGCCTCATATTGTTCAGCAACATGACTCTCGTGAAGGAAGGAGTCCCATCAATGTTCCATGATTCCCACGAGTCTCACTCACTTGAGCCTCGTGTGGCCACCTCAGGCTCTACCAATCCACATGATATGATACAAAAACGAAAAACAATGTGAATAATAGGGCGCAAAGGGCCCTCTAAGTCTCAGAATACAATGCGCCCTCAAATTGTCCTCGGCATGAGCCACGTAAGTCTCAAGATTGCGAACGAGACTTACGAGACAAAAGGACAACACACACACACACACACACACACACACACACACACACACACACACACACACAACACACACGTTGTGTATAGCGAACATGACATAACATACACAAACACACACGGAGAGGCAAAGTAAAAGGGGAGCTGCAAGAAGAAACGAAACGGGTACCCCAAAGGAAGCCAAAGTAAAGAGAGCGAAGAAGGGAATGTACAAGGAAAAGGCAATATGTGGGATTTATCATGCTTTATGTTGTTCCTATCGAGGCAGAAGTGTGTCGATGTTGGATTTTCTCATCTTTACTGTGCGTGTGCTTAAGTGTGCTTGAGTGTGCTTAAGTAAGTGTGCTCCATTGTCTGCTATAGAGGCAACACTCCTTCAATTTTCGATCTACTCGTCCGGGTTGAAAAGGGGCTGTTATGGTGAC